GTCCTAATGCTACGATAATTCAGTTCTGTGGTCTTTGAACACTATCAGTAGCTAATCAGGTTATCTTTCTAGGCTCCAAAGAGTGCGGGCACTTGGCTTCAATGCCATTCAATACTACATTCCATGGAATTTTCATGAAGTCTACGAGGGAAAGTGAGTTTCCTGAGATGATTTTTTAGCTGCCTCTGCTTGTGCATAAATTTAATACCCCTGTAAAAGCTAATGAAATTGCGATTGCAGATACAATTTTTCCGGAATGCGTAATTTCACTGAGTTCTCACGCATCGCCTATGAACTTGGAATGTACTCATTGGTTAGAATAGGTGAGTTCCGTTTCTGCGTATTTGACTGCAAAGAAAAAGTCATTGCTTGAGGTCCATACGTATGCGGTGAATGGGAAAACGGCGGATTACCATGGTGGCTGCTGACTAAAAACATAACAGACATGAGGACGAGCGAGAGCGAGTAAGTAGCCCAGGCATTTTGTTTCACGTGGAATGGTCTGTAGACAGCAAGTCGTGCTCAGCTACGAGGAAAGTACATGGGAGCTGATTGAGTAATGGCGTTGGGAGGGGAAGGGGAGGGAGAAGGAGGGGGATCATTCGCTCTAGTAGTTCGTGCTGCCTACAATAATCCCAATTATTGGCGGGAAAAAGCTTCGAGGTAACTACCAAGCAAGTGCGAAATGGTTTGCACACCCTGGAGCTTCCTCTCTGCTATGATTAGAATTACAGTAAACGGCACGAACATTTGCACCGAACGCCCCTTTTTTGAGGGAGCGTCATATAGTTTTTTTCCTCATTTTCCCCAGCATTTGTGTGATGCTTATTCTAGAACCATCCGTATACCCACGCTTTATATTATTTCCAAGAGTTGACGTGAGGCTGTTTATAGTCGGCGGGATTCTGTCTAACAATAAGTCCTCATAGAAAAGGTATGTATTACATGATTTCGGGCGTCATTCAGTCCAACGGAAGTTGTGGTAAGGCTAGCGTTCCGCACCTTACTTGTTTTTAGTCCCGGGAGACATTACTCCGATTGTGTTGGTGCAATAATGGACATACTCTCGGCTGCTGCCAACAAGGGTGGCTACGGGGGAGGGAGGGTTAGTGCAGCTGCTGGTAGTTACACACCTACAGAGGGTTGCCACCAGCTTGGCCTTGATTCTCAATTTTTACCGGAGTTCCCACTTACGTCTACCAATGTGGGAGACTATGCGGAGGTAAAACCCAAGATTATTTCTGGCTATTCAAATGTTTTGGTAATAACCTTTCATTTTCAGCATTTCAGCTTTTGAACACAATTTGGTGACTCTTGAATTTTTACCCTGTAAATTACCCAGGAAATATTTAATTTTTTTTCAGGTTCAAAAAAGCTGTTGAAAAATGGAATTCCGTTCTTCTTCCGCTGATCAAGCCTATGATGCGGCACAACGGTGGTCCCAGTTCTGATGCTCCAAGTAGAGAACGAGTACGGTAGTTACAAGGCTTGTGACAGGTTCGGAAGCTTTAAAGTGTATGGTATTTTTTAAATAATTTGAGGTGAAGCTAGAACACCGGGAGGTGGCTCAGTACCGTTTGCTCAGTTCAAGAAAATTCGACTTAAATATGATCAGTTTGACAAAGAAGCGATATCTCTTTTTTTGGTTCAGTAACGGCGCTCATAGCCTCTAGGGGGAAGGGGAGGGGGAGGACATTCAAAAACAGGGCCGATGTTTGGCAACACTATAGTTATAGATGAGCTCACGAGAGAGGAGAAACACGAGGGGGACTGCTCTCAATCCTCCCCCTTCCCCCTAAGGCTTATGGTTTGTTCCATGTACCACAAGTAGCTCACTCATTTGAATGTTCCCCTCCCCTCAGCGGCATGAGTGCCTTAACTTCTAAAGGACTCGTGCAGGGAGATAAAGCACTGATCTCGGCTCTCGCAGGTCACTGCATCGACCAAATCACGCCCAAAAATGCTGCTGTGGATTCTGAATGGATGCCGAGTGCAAAGTAAATCCAAAACGATTGATCAGTTTCAAGTTTTTCAGAGACTACACACAATGGCTACGAGATCGGGTATGGTACTATGTGGGAAAGGAGTCTGTGATTTATACTAGTAAGACCATTTCTTAATTGTGTCAAATATGCGCGTTAGAGTCACCCTACGTCCCCATTCTGGCGTTTCTCATGCTCGAATTGATAGTTTTGGGAATTTATGCATGGCGCATTGCGTACTCCCTACCAGGGTGAGGTAAATCATCGAGGACCGCAGAAAGAGGGGTTCGACTTTTTGACGTCGATTGGGGGCATTGTTTGAGTGTGTGGGGGAGTGGCAGCTGTCAGTGGGGGAAGCAAGGTGTAGTGAATTTTGAAAGAATTTCGAAAATTTTGGTACTCGTAAATATTCTTTTTTGGTGGCGGATTAGGGATCAGGTGACTTACTATTGATATCCTATATTGATACCACCAACCATCGACTTTTAGAGGTAGGGAGGAGGTTGTCGGAAAGAGGGTGGTGCATCGTATTCGTGGGGAAATAAAGAGCGGGAAGCGGTGGTGTTTATCGAAATTTCCTCTGGGCAGCTCATCTTGCTTCCTACCCAAAATCAAGCATATCATGAATTTTGGCTTTCTTAGCAGTTTACCTGAATACTGGTACTTTTTCAGCTGATGGTAATTCTTTATCGCTTTTGAAATGCGGGTCAGTTCCGTACACCCTCACAACAGTCGATTTCGGTCCTACATCGAACGAGAACGTTAACAAGTCGTTCATGCTGCAGAAAAAGTTTCTTCCGAATGGTGAGTCCACTTTCATCTGGGTGAGCGTTGCTTGGCAAGCGATCTCGTGACTGATACTATCTGAGAAAAAGCGTTCCCATGAACGTAGCCTTTGTATAAGCTGTATGAACGAGAAATAGGGTTTGTTCTTAACGGAAAGGTGGAGTAGGACGAGTTCCGGTGGTTCTGAGCTATTTCTGTGTCTATGCTATTTGGGGTGCCCGACAGAGGCCCGTCGCGAGTCGAGAAAACAGAGACGCAGGCAGGTCAGCGGACGAGTCGCAGCGCGTACTGTAGCGCTTTAGAATGGGCTTCAAGAATACCCTCCCACATTGCACAAAACTCGCTGCGACTCGTCTGCTTACCCATCTGCGTCTCTGCCTTCTTGCCACGCAGCGAGCCTCTGTCGGGTACCCCATATTCTTGCTACAATGATGAGCTCCTTAGTTTACTTAATGTCCTGAAAGAAGGGCGAATTCGGGCGGTTAACGGAGTGAGTAGGCATTATAAATTGGTTTTGCATAACATTAAAGTAACGAATCATTGCTGAAAATTCAAGCTGCTATTACCGCAATCATCTGAAGTTGAAATAATCCTGTTTAGGTCATGGTCCTTTGGTTAATTCGGAGTTCTATCCGGGATGGTTGGTTCTGTGGGGCCAAAAAGAAGCTAGTTTACCGTCTGTAGACGACATTGTAAAATCAGCGAAATGTAAGTTTGTGTGTTTATAGTGAGTACTGTCTGAGTCACCGATTGCTGGCTGGTGCATTATTTATCATTTTGTGATATTTCTAAAACTGCTCTTCATGGGTAAGCGCTCTTTTAGAATGAAGAGGTTACCATTAATAGTTTTCCAAAATTCACTGTCTTAGAGGTTTTACGGTTCGCGTTTTCTATTTGCTGTGACTTGGAATTGAAGGTGAACGTATGGCGCATTTTAGGGGAATTGATCAGGGCTGGTTGCCTTAGCATTTCTTTATTCTACAAAATTTCATCTAGGCGGAAGCAATATATGGAAAAATGCGCTCAAGCAATAACTAAATGACAACTCATATCATCGATCCTAATTTTATCGAAATATATCAAATTGGGCGGAAGTGGTGTAGTGGCAAGTGGCACGCTTACCACGCGAGCGGTCCGGGGATCAAATCCTGGGTCGTGAGTCGCCCGGGCCAACCAAGCCTTCCATCCCTCCGGGGTCGGTTAATTGGTACCAGACTTGTCTGGGAGGATAAAAACACTGACTTGTACATCGGCTGGCCCCCGCAAGTCATTGTATAGGCCACATCGCATTCAAACGCCACTACGAATGTACAAATGGAAGTAGAATGCGTGCCGCATCCCAAAAAGGGATTGATCAACGGCAAATGCTTTATCCTTTTTTTACAGTGAAATAGTCGTGGAACGAATTCCTTGCGCAGACAGTTCCGATAGAAGTCTAGCTAAATCTTTAAAAAAATGGGCAGCAAAGGGTAAACAGTGTCACAAGAAATATTATGAACGAAATGTGTAGATTATCCCATTGCCTTTGTTTAGATATGTATAGTTTGGGAGCGAATATCAATTTCTATATGATTCATGGTGGAACAAATTTTGGATTCTGGAGCGGAGCAGAAACGAAGGCTCCGGTATGTGCTGTTCTATGACTAGAAAAACTTTTCACTGAAGTTTTTCGGAGGAACTTTTCTATCGCAAGGAGCTGAACAACCCCTTTTCAGTGTATCACCTCGTACGACTACTTCGCCCCGATCTCGGAAGCCGGGGATGTAACGCCTAAATATTTGGCTATACGTTCATGGATAAAGAGCATTCCCTGACTGGAAGACACCGCCTCTTGACGTGCCTTCGAATAATCCGTGAGAAATAATTGTCCCTGTCCATAGAGCAAGTTCGAAAAAATCTGACTGTTCAGAAAGAAGGCGTTCGGAGTAGTGAAGATGGAGCCCGTAGATGACCTCTCTCGACTACCTGATGAGCAAAATTGCATCACTAGCGCGTCGCCGATGTCTTTCGAGAAGATCGGCCAACCTTTTGGATTTGTC